TGGCTCTTGACATCGTAGGTGTGTGGGTCGTTTACGCTGTATTCGAAGTTGTATGGTGTGGGTGCGTATGCGGGTTCTGGGGCGTAAGCCTTTGGTGCTGAGTAAGCGGGCGCWGAGTACGCTGGCTTGTAAGCTGGGGCAGAGTATTGGGCAAGGGCGGTGGCCACGCAAGCGGCGAGGATGATGAACTGTAAAACAAAGTTTAAAAAAAATTCAATTTTGCAATCACCTTTATGGTTATAAAATCTAAAATCGTTTTATTTACAAAATAAAACGTTTTAAAATATCAAATGACGATAATMTTACCTTAGCGGCCATTTTAGAGATTTTTTTTGTTGTTTGGTCAAAGAATTTGATGACTGTGTACAGAAATGAACTGGTGATTATGGAGACCAGAGACATGGTATTTATGCTAAAAATCTGTAGCTTCATCCCTTCCAGACGTACTTGGTGAATAATGTATTCTTGGAYAGTAACTGACAAACAAGAACCGGTTGAGGTGGAGACGCCCGTACAATATACATTTTTTAAACATATCTAATTTAAATTGTGTAAATATGGTTCAAGTTCGTTAAAAAAATTAATTTGTTCACATTCACAATGCGTTTAAAATAAATTAATTGATACGCCACATCGTCGTTGGCACGTATCATAATCATAAACATTGAATAGTCACACAGTTGGCTATGTATGTATAGCATAATATTCGCAACTGYAGTATGTCGGACCTTTTATTGTACAGTTTTAAACGGACGCAAATTACCCAAGTACCCAATCGTTTAACACTTCGCATACAATATTTATAATTTTATAAAATATATATTATAGTAAACCTAAGAAAAAAAAAGTTGGGTTTTTAAAAATGTTTTCGAAGTCGCAATACAGTAATGTTGGGTATTATTCACGAATCACAATAATCACATAGACGTTACGATTGATATATAATATTATGTTAAACTGTTACGTTCATTAATTCCAAGAACAACCTTTTCATTTTTTAATTCATTAGTGGTTTTTATAAATAAATTCAACGGTAATCAATCACTCGATTCGAGTAGGCGTAAAAACGAGCTCGACGGTTCGCGCCGCTCGCACACTGGTTAAGCAGCAGTGGCGTACGATAGGTTGTTTCCTTCACGATGACGGCGCGACGTTGAGCCAATGGTTGGCATATTTTTCTACGAATTACTTAGGTTTAATCGATTTTTACATACCGCCCATAGATCAGAATTAACATTTTTGGGTCGTACATATATATTACGATCAGACTAATGTACCTACAGCGTAATAATAATTTTATAATTGTTAGAACATTTTACCTACTTAGTTAATAATTATAAAATCAATTGAAATACTGCAGTGCACAAAGTGTGTGTATACTATTAACTATCTATAGGTACGTAAATACATGTTTTGCAATACAAACACTAAGTATATATAACTTGAACACGTATTTCGTACTGAAATAGCTGATGTGACACCTACATTTTTAGCAGATATTTCTGATTTGACACTTTAAAAAACGTCGTGTTTTCATAGGTTATATGAATGTCTATTAGG